GGCTACGGCATCCTATAAATACTGCAGCCACATGTGCATGAACCACCCTTATCTGCTTATGTCTCTGAGGATGGATTCGAGCAGGAATCCGAAACGTCAGGCTAATAAAGCTCTTGTCCCGGCGATCGTGTCTTCTTCTTCAAGACTGCTTCCTGGGACTCGTCTTTTTGCTTCTATAGGACTGGCTTCGTCCGACACATGAATCCTTTCCTGATGATGTCCGTGTCAATTTTTTTATTCATTCAGGTCAAGGTGGCGAGACGAGAGGAACCCAGACGCGATCCGTCACAGTCCGATTCGAGCCCAGCTAAGGAGGGGGAAAGGCAAATATGACCAAACTGCTTTCAGATGGCGAATACAAAGGGTTCCGCCAAAAGCCTCGACAGACCGCTTGGGATCGAAATGAGGAGAAGACCTAAAGAACCGCAAAATTCAACGATGGGGGGGAGAAGGATTGCAATTGCGGGGATCACCGTGGAATTCTGAGGAGTGTCTGTGACAGGCGACAGTTAGGAGGCTTTGAGCGTGCACGCCAATCAAACAAAGCTATTTCTTTGAGCGAATTTGTCAGGAAGGATGTCGCTAGAGGCATGAGAGGCAAGACGCATGAATTGAAAAATCGAAAAAATTAGTATTTCTAACGAGGGATCTCAGGAAGCGATGCTACACACAAAAGAGGGAAATGTGAGCGGATACGGAAAGTTAATGGCTGCATACTAAATGCCCGGTGGCCCTTTCTCGGTGTCATAGATAAAGTTTTCCGGGAAGGATGAGAAAAATAAGGGTTTAATCGAGTCAGTATTCAAATAAAGGCGTAGCCTTCTCTGAAAATTGTGTTGATAATCTGAAGTTCTTATATTTATTGGAAGGTAACTCCAGAGGAAAGTATACATGGAAGCGAAAATAAGAGAGAAATAAGAGGTGGAGGAAGCGGGAGGAGGTATAATCAAGGAAGATTTGCGTAGATTGTATGGGCGACTACTAGGGGTAAGTGCTGAAATCTGAGGTTTTCAGTTTCTTCAGTTTATTTGGTAAGGATAATAGGCAAAGCCTTTGAAAACCCTATTGATTACATGTCAGCTCGTTGGAATTAACTGTACACGGAGAAAAAATATACACTATTAAAACAGTACTTGATTCATTTGAGTAGCATTGTCTTAGAGAAAATATTTGTGGAAGTGGGGTCTTAGTTCAGATTCAGACTGTCGAGGGAAAACAGGGAACACAAATAATCATCCAAGCGTTTCTTGAAGCGTTGCAGAGACGTAGCCTCCACGACTGACTGAGGGAGATCGTTCCATTTCTCCACTACCCTCTGCGTGAAAAATTCAGAACGAAGATTCGGCCTAGACATTGTTGACCGTAACTTCATCGAGTGACCACGGAGATTGGGTAAAAGGTGCCACTGAAACATGTCCTCAAATTTAAGTCCATGCTCAAGGCCATGTGTTATCTTGTAGACGAGGATAAGATCACCTCTTTGTAACACAGAGGGAATAAATCAAGGCAATTCAGTCTGTCTGTGTAGGATTGGCTTTTTAGACCGTTTACCAGCTTTGTTGCACGCCGGTGTACTCGTTCGAGGCATTCTTGGTCCTTTACTAGCCATGGCCGCCATGCTTGTATGCCATATTCCAAGTCGGGCCGAACAAAAGTGCCGTAAACTCTCCCAAAAAGGTCTTGGTCAAAGTTTACGAAAGCCCTTTTTATTGCATGTTGCACTCCCATGGCGTTTTTTGCAGCCTTGTGGCACTGCAGTGTTGGTTTCTGGTTGTTCTGCATCCAAACCCCGAGATCCTTCTGTGAAGATTCTGCGGGCAGCCTTATATCTTTCAGGTGATATGTCCTCAGGCTCTCATTTGAATGAGAGTTGTTTGGACGCAGATAAAGGACGGCACACTTCTCCACATTGAAATCTAAAAGCCATTTCTTCGACCACGCTTGCAGTCGGTGCAGATTATCTTGAAGGGATCTCTGATCATTCGGACCCTTAATGGCTTGCCAGAGCTGAGCATCGTCTGCAAACACTATTTTGCCGCAGTCGAGTTCCTGAAGACCGTCGTTAACGTAAAGGACGAAGAGCAATGGTCCCAGAACTGAGCCTTGCGGCACACCACTGGTCACGTTCACCCATTCTGATATATCATCCCCGATACAGACACGTTGTTTCCGATCAACCAGAAACGCCCTAATCCAGTTCAGAAGATCTCCCCGGATGCCGATGGCGCTCAATTAGTGAAGAAGACGTTGGTGCGGGACAGTGTCAAAAGCTTTGCGGAAATCGATGTATACGACATCAACCTCAAAACCCTTTTCTAGAGCCCTGGTCCAAATCTCCAGACAAGCTAGCAGATTTGAGAGGCAGGAACGTCCTCTCCGAAAGCTATGTTGAAAATCCTGCAAGATGTTATTTTCTTCACAAAATTGCTGTATACCGCTCTTTACTAGAGCTTCCATCGTTTTGCAAGGGAGGCAACTTAAGCTAATAGGCCTAAAGCTGCTTACTGTCATCCTGCTACCTCCCTTATGCAATGGAACGAGGTTAGCTGTCTTCCACTGTGAAGGCAGCCTTCCTGTTTTCATTGACAGCTCAAAGAAAGTCAAAAGAGGCTTTGACAGCTCCGTTAATAGCTCCTTAATGCGAAAGAGGAGACAGAAGCCTGCTTCTAGTCTTCGAACCCATAAAAATTTTAGGTTAATTAGATGGTATCTATCGGAGTAGGAGATATTTGAATGTTTCCTATCTATAAGTTTTTTTTAGAAAAACGTCTTTGGACATTTTCAATTTTTAAACGACTAGCCGCAATTTTTAAACGATTAGCATTCATCAAACCAAACAATGGGCAACAATACTCGAGAATGGGAAGTACAAGCATACGATAGAGCCTTAATTTAATATCAGGAAGATAGAAATTGTAAGAAATAAAGCCACAAATCTGGGCTGCTTTGGCCGTAATTCTGTCAGCGTTGGGCGAGAGATCAAAACTATTCTTGTAGCTTAAACCTGAATGCCTGATGTTGGTGCACTCACTCACAGGTGTGTCCTGAAAGACCAAACGCCAGGCTGCAGTCGAATTCCTTCATAATGAGGAAGTTTTGCAGGAGGCCGCGCAATTGCCCATAACTCAAATTAAGAGGTTCAGATTTGCTAGAGAGGTTGCATAAGGAAAGGAGCTCGGACCCCTAGCCATTTTTGTGGCTCTCCTCTGGACTCTTTCGAGACCATTTGCGA